CCCTATTTTATTCCAGAGCACCATGTTTTAGTCATCTCTGTATCAGCTAATAACTACAGCAAACTAGCAAAGTTATTAGGGATCAAACCAGACTCTTTATGATTCGGTTTACATAGAGCTGATCAGAGAAGGGAAAACCAAATCATCCCAAGGCGATGTCTGCCTGAGTTACCACCCCACACGCTCACAGAAATTAATAACTTGTGCAATTTAAGCAGGAGGCAAGGCTATAAGGAAATGGGGAAAGCTGAGGTAATGGAAAGAGAAATCCTGTAGTTCCTCAGCAACTGCCCATGTCCTGCGTGTCACCCAGCCCTCTCCCAGGCAGAGTTGTTGGAAATTTAGGGGTAGAGGAGGCTGATGGGTCCTTGTATTAAAATTCACTCAGATTTCATTATTCAGAATGGAAGTAAAATATCACTAGAATTGATTAAATGAGCAATACAGTTCAGAGACAGGCAGGCAGAGACCAGTCCTCCGTTCCACAGACCTTTGTGCCTTTGTGTCTCTGTGAGATCATGTGTCCCTCTTCCCACACTCATTTGCAAGGTAGAGCTGGCAAAATGGGAGACCTCAGAAGAGTTTCCAGGAAATGTTGCCTCTCCCAGGAAGGCAGTGGGGTAACAACCAAGTGCTTCTGCCTTCCCCAGTGTCTCTGCTGAACCAAATGTTTCAGCAGTTGCATTAACACCTGGTTTTGAGAGAATGCTCATTAGCCCTGGAGTCCTGTGCCACTTTAAGTAACCTTTTAAAAACAACTTTTTATAGCTTGTGTGCTCTGCTTTTCCTCAGGCCACAAGTTAAACACACTCAACAACACCAGGGCAGAGTGAAACAGAAATAAATACATGTATACGCACATGCCTACCAACCCCCTACATACACACAAAGGATCAGGACCAGAGATCAATGTCTTCAGGAAAAGGCATGAGGGGACAAATTCATCACAGTGCTTTGTCACTGGTGGCAAAGGAAAGAAAAAGGAACATTTAAAAGGGTGATGAAATGTTTCAAGAAAAAGCAATATATTTTTATGTACTTGTAAAATCCATTGGGAATGACTTTTCTGGTTAATTGGTTTCAACTTATTAAACTAAAACCCTATTTGTAAAATCCAGACATATTCAACCGTAAGTCCAATTTCTTCACCGAAAGCCAATACGTCATTTTAAAGGAAAAAAATAAGCAATACAAACCCGTTTCCATTAGTCTAAAAGCACAGCACTTGGTATGGGGAAGAGAAATGGAATAGAGTGCTTGACTTTTTGAAAATGCACTTTGGAAAAATCATGTTACTCATACTCATTTACCTCCAAACTGCAGCTCCCTTCTTCCCTGGTCCTGTGAAAATGGATGAGTATTTTGGCCCAATTATGCAGTGATTTAGAAATCAGCCTTCTGCTATCTTTCCCTGCACTTGTCATGTTGAACTTCTTCCCCCTTATTAGACCACTCTTCTTCTCATTAAATAGTCTCTCTGTCTCACTTGCCAAAGAACTGCCAATGGGCCCCTGATTTTACAGAAGAATAGACACAGCTTTAGCAATGGGAAAGGGCCCCTAATGTACCATGGACACAGCACAGTGAAGCATGGTAATTTGCCTGTGTTAATGATGCTACTTCACAATGATCAGGAAAACAAAAATCTTTAATAGCTAAATGACACCCAGTCCTTCCGCAGCCTGTTGAATTCAAAAGCAGTAGAGGCAAAACTCAACGAGATGTCCTTTAAGAGATGAACTAAAAGTAGCTGCACGGTTGTTTGGTTTTTTTTTCCTACATTCCTAATCTCTAATCATTAAAATGGGTGACTTAGTGCTGGGAGCAGGACATAAAAAAAAACAATACAAGTGTTTCAAAATATTTTTGCAGCTTAAAATCAAGGGGTAAAGGTGGGGAGGGGGATAAATTAACATATATGCAAATGCTTTGTGACATACTATATACATGCATGATTCTCCAACCCCCAGATATTCTGCTCTGTGGGAGAGATTTTGTGCAAGATATTACTGAAAAGTGGGACTAAAGCATCATTACTTATTTTCTGCTTTTAGGTGAAAAGAGGAAGTCATTATTGCAGGAAGGACAGAGGGGCAGTCTGCATGTGCCATTGCTTATGTCAGAGGATGCTACAATTCCACAAAGCACTGAGCTCTTGAATGCTAAATCAACCCCAAGAAATGTTTTCAACTTCAGTTCTCATCAGAAGCTTTTAATTTCTTACAGTTGGGTTCCCCAGGCTGCCTGGCTAGGCAAAACACTGACTGCTTTGGCCAGTCAAAGTCTGGTTGCCTCAAAAAGTTAATCTTCAAATACAGCACATCAAGCTACTCAGTGGGAGAAATTCTGCCCCCAGACAAGACAGGCAGAACGGCACTGACTTTGATGACGCTTTCGGTGTGCACCAGAAGGAACCAGGGATCATAGGCAATCATATGGTTCATGTTTGGTAATCCTTTGGCACTGTTGAAAAGCTGGAAAACAGACCCAGACATTGGTTTGCGAAAAAAAAGATGAACAATATTTACAATATTGCTTATACAAGAAAAAGATTCTATGACATTTTCCAAGGGGAAAAGGAGTGATTTATCAGCCAGTTGCAGTTTCATAGATTTTGTAGCCACCCGATTGGCACGCCTCAGACATTCCTTGTCCAAAACTTTCTGGTACAGCTTTGCAAAACAGAAGCAGGATTTGAATTCAAGAGGGCTGCAGGAAGGCAGAATTACTGAGAAATCAGGAACAGGCCATTTCACTGCAACACTTGTCCAGGCATTCTTCAATTCCTGATGTTCAACATTTAACAAACCCTGAGGTAAGTCTCTACCACAATTAAGTGCTAACTTAAGTGCTTGGGGTGTTTTGGGGTGGCTTTTTTTTTAGCCTATTCATTGTAGAGTTCATCAGTTGATTGTCTTATGAAATTATGTGCTTACCACAGGAAAAGTTTGTCAACCCAGGTTGAAAATAAGCACCTGAAGACTCTCTAAATACTTGTTTACTCAGTCTTGAGAAGCACTCAAGGGAAGTCCCTTAAAGACCAAGTGATTTACTGTGATTCTAAACACTAGCATTTTATGAATGAAAAATTTTGATACCTTTCATGTTGAGCTCTGTGGACCTTGCCAAGTTGAGACCATAATACTTATCAGCAATTTATCAGCAAAGCCATGGTTGACTCTTCAGAGGCCTGATATCTGAGACCTGTCCAGGCAACTTCCCTTTGAAGTCAAGAAGCCAAAGAAAGATTCCCAGCTGTGACCCAGCACAAGTGCTTCTTGAGTGGAGCATTCACCACCTTACTCAAAGTGGCTTGGCAGTGCAAAAATGGCATGTTGCCTTCCAGAGGCTGATTGCAAAATAAACCTTCGTCCCTGGGGCAAAATTCACTTCTGCAGCAGGAATGGAAGAGATGCTCTTCCAGACATTGCATGTCTCAGATGGGCCAGGGCATAAAATCTCTCACTGCTAGATGAACAGCCATCTCCTCATCCTGCCAATCCAGGGCAGTACCAACTCCTCCTCTGGGGCAGCAGAAGCAGTGGAAGGAAACACAAAGACAAGGGACAATGCAGCCCTTTTACTGAGGCCATGGAGATCCCTGTGCTGCAAAGCCTTTAGCATTTCAGTGAGCACATCAAGAGTGGCCTGATGTCATGGCTACTCCCTCCTCTGCCCTTGTCTAAAGCAACAGCAATGTAGCAAAAGCATGTGAAAAGACAGGCTGGATGGAGTACAGTTTCATATTAGTTCCACATGGTACAGTTTCACATAGTACATAGTTCCAGAGTTTCATCTCTGGGTGTCTCTCTTGAGTGTGAACAGTACTGCTCGTGTACAGGATTGCCAACACCATTTGGTGTGGTGGAGTTGTACAAGGAACTTGTAATAGCAACTTAAATAACATCTATGATAGATTCTGCAAGATGAGTGCGTAGATGCAATTATTAGATTCATTAATTCTCAAACAGTGATATCTCTTTTGCTTGCTACTTGCCAGGCAGATATAGCCACCAGGGTGTGCAGCTATTAAATGTAAACCACAGCTCCTATCACCCTTTTTTGTTCTTCCCCTTCCTTTTACTGTGCATTTTCCTTGAGCTCTTTCTCTTTTGATCTCATTGAGAAAAATGGCTTCCTTTATTGATTAAATTACAAATTCCAAAGGCAGGTTATTGAGTTATATGATAACACCTGACAAAAGCCATCAACTACAATTGAAATAAAAGGAAAAATTAGCACTCTCTTTATTACAAAAGATTTGGATGTTGAGTAGCTGACTAAATTAAATGGAGATTAAGCAGATCTGAGAGAATTGATTAGGAAAAACAATGCAGAATTCAGAAAAGAGGCACCAAAATTAACAACTCACTAATTCACCTTAGAAAAATGTGGGAAAAGTTGAGGAAGAGAAGGGAGTTGCATCTTTTTCAAGCATTCACAACCAGGAACTGCACCAAAGCTTGCCTTTGTGATAAGACTTCTCAGATACCCAATTCTGACAAGTTACCAAAAGCCAACAAATACATGACCAGGTGACCATCCCTTCAGGTTTATCCATTCAGCTTCTAGTAGGCCTTTTAAACTAGTGGTATCGCAAGCAAAATAAGGCTCTTGGCCTTTGTTCTGTGCCTGAGAAGAGGACTGCATGCCAGCTTTTGGTAAATACATCACTGCATTTTATTCAGCGCTCATCTAAGCTAATGAGGTATTTTTATTTTTGTCTCCTTGTGGCATTTCCGGCAGTACTGACAGATGTCTTGGGCTTTCTTCCTGCAGATTGAACAACCATTATTGGAGTTCTTCAATGAAACAAGAAGCTAATAAAGCAAAGTGTCTAAAATGGCATGATCAACTTCAAAACCATGTCATCATCCAGTCACTTCCTTGCAAGCTCATTGCAAGGTAGAGTCTAGCAAAGATCACTTCTAGCAAGATTCTGAAAAGAGTATAGACATGGCTGTTAAATAAAGGTTGCAAACATGATATTATTTACTTACAGCCTCTGCATTACTGAAGTGTCATATTCGAAGTCATGCTCCAGGGAAAATCCTCAGTAACCTGTGACAATATCAGAAAAAGAGTCTTCAGTGGATATTTCTAACTAAGTCTTCTATCTGATGGGAAAGAGAATTTAACATTAAATTTTGATATTATTTTGGAGACAAAATGAAAATGTGAAGATCATCTTATTTAACCACAAAGCAGTGTGAAAATTCTCCCTAATGATCATCCAAAGGTTGCTTCAAAACTTGCTGCAGCTGCAATCATCTTCTCCATATCTGCTTTCTCCAAAAATCCTAGCCTACAGATTTACTAGCAGCAAATGTTTGTAGAAACAATAAATAACACATTCAATTGAACTCAGAAATTGTGCAGCCTTGCCTGAACTTTTCACAATCCTGAATGCTTCCTCCTCATGAAAGAGACAAGGAATTGATTTTGTCCCAGTTTCCAAGTGGGAAAATTGCACCAGTGAGAAATGTAGCCTGTGAACACACATCTTATGCCTCACTGCAGTGCTCTGCTTGGGGACATTCCTGTCCCCACCACCCTGCCTCATCATTCACCCCTGCCAGAGCAAATTGTACCCTCCGTTCTGTCAGCAGAACTACTCACAAGTGCAGCCAGATATGGGTTAGTAAAGACCTATTTAAACTGCTCAAGCCAATCCAGGAGCTGCAGCCAGATGAAGATGTGTGAACACAGCCTACATGATTTGCCCCAGGTCTCACAGCAAGCCTGGCAGGGCAGACAGCTAGCGTGATAGCTGCAAGCCCATATTTCCCCTTCTTTGAAACACGAAGGGTGCTGATCCCAAGCAAAACACAGAATTAACAGACATGCTAAAGAAACCCACACCTCAAAGGTTATTTTCATAATTTTCACCATTTTGCCTTGCCCCAAATCCCCAATTCCACCACAATCTGATGAGAGAAAAAATTATTACAAATCATAACAAATTTTAGATTTTTTTTTCCCCTAATGATTTATCCTTTAATTTTTTATTACAGCATCACACCAAAACCTACCCTGTGCCCCAGCACAGTGCAGACACTGGCTGTGGTAGTCCCTGCACCCTGGAGCTTACCGGCAAGATATCAAGGAGCTAGAAGTGCAGGCAGGGAAACGACAGGAACAGCAAAAATCAGAGGATGCTTCTGCACAGTGGTTTGTGAGCACAAATCCCACTCAGCCAGTAAGAAATGACTCACTGTGAAGAGGTTCTGACCCTACTACCTATTATGCTCAACAGCCGGTCTCACTGAAATTATTTATCTAGTTATTTACATGGCTTCCATTAGAGCAATGGCTGAGCATTCACAAACCAGATGGTTTTTTCCTCACCACACTCCTGAGAAGGAGCCCATGCTGTTAACTCTACATCACAGACAAGGAATAGAGATACTAAAAAGACAAATGTTTTTTTCCAGTCTGTCAAAACCCTATATCATGCCAAAGGGCTCCTGTGGGTTAAGGTGCTGCACTCAATGACCAGCCATCAGACTTAAACCATAGGCAGACCTCTCACCACCCTGGTAATTCTTCCTTGAACACCGGCTTCTAAATTGTGTTAATAAGGAAAATAAAAAGATAGAAAGGGGGAAAGGGAAAGGAGAAAACTAGAAAAAGGAAAATAAAAATAAAAAAGAAGAAAAGGTCATAATAAATACTGCAACATCTGAAAAAAGCAAACTGCGGCAACAGAGGAACCAGTCACTCAGTTCACTGAGAGGACTGAAGTAATTGTTTTCTAGAAGAAGCATCATTCATCACATTTCCATAACCCTGAAAATGGTCTCACAGTCCCTTCTTTCAACATTTTAAGACTTACATGCATATGAACTCTCACATTTCCTTTCTTCCCCTATCAGTGCTCTGTTGTGGAAGAAATCATGGGAAAAGGACAAAGATGTGAAAATTTCTGCAGCTGTTCTGCCAGGGCTGAATCATGAAGATGGGAAACCCAAGGACACAGCACCCCACAAAAGGTTCAGCCTTCACTGCTGCCAGTTGACTCTTGCTCTTTAAAATGGTTAAGAGCAGAAATACATTTTTGCTGATATCCCAGGAGGCAGTTCAGAGCTCAGCATACCAGGTTGTATGAAAATAAGACACATCAAACCTCCAGGACTGGTAGTCTTTTCTAAAAAGTAAACCACTGGTCAGCGCAAACTCTCGGGTTTGATCAGCAGAAGGACTTTCTGTCTGCAAACTGCCTAACTCTCTAAACATAATAGCCCCCTTCTGGACAGAGAATAGAGGATTCCTGAAACTCACCCTTTGATTTGCAAGAAATTGAGCCTTCTCCTGAAATTACTCCTCAGATGTTTAATTCTCTCTCAGGTTACAGGATGAAACCTTTCCTATCTCTCTATTAAAGCAGCATAGACAGATGGGATAGTCTTCGTCTTTCAGAACTTTGGAAGTTCATTTCACATTTGTTTTAACAGGAATGGGATGTTCAGAGCTCCTGTTGAGGTAAAAAAAAATCAGACCTGTAGACTGTGCTCAATCAAAGCCAAGAAAATCCCAAGCTCGGTAGTCCCTCCACAGTGCTGCCATCAATTTAAAAAGAAGCAGGGTAATGTAAGTATAATGGTCAAACTTCCACCTCCACATGTGCCTCCAAATCTGTGCTGTCTTAGCCAAAGGAGGGAATTCCCATATTGAAAGAACAAACTGTCCATCCTGACGCAAAGAGCCTGTGGGACTACAGGCAACCCCTAGCAAAACATCTAGCTCACAGCCTCTGTGGAGCAGAAGAAAGCAGGCACCTCCACTCTCCCCAAGGTTACACTTGCACCTCCACAGCTGCCAGCTGAGTTCTGCTCAGTGAGATATGCTGGCAGGGGCATGACTGCCACCTTCTCACTGACTGCTCCCCCATCCCTGGGCAAGACATGTTGCCTTGCTCTGAGCATGCACAAGGAGAGTACAAAAATGCTCACAACCACTTTTGAAAAATATTCAAGCACTGCAGATAAAAACCCCTTTGACCGCCATAGTGCAGGTGGAGCTGTACCAGAACCACCACAGGATGTAAATGTCTTCTCTTCATTAATGGGTTTCAGCCTCTCCTCATCTCCAGTCCAAGGCAGGGAGATGTTATTGTCCTTTTCCAAGCTATAAAAAAGCCCAACATATAAAAAAGGTCCCTCAGGACACGCACATCTGTGCTGCAAACTGATCCCAAAATGCCACAAACCCAACCTACTGCCCTTCCCTCCAGCCCAGCCTAATTCTCTGAATTTCATAATGATTCAAAGCGCTATTTAAAGCCCCTACAGCTATGGGTGTGTGCAAGGAATTAAGGCTGAGCCAAAAAATTTGAATTCAGCAGCTCTGGTTGGGATTCTTCTTGGTAATAGCGAAACACAGAGCTGGGGGGTTTTAACCTGACATGGAAAAGGTGGTATCTGTCATCTGGGTTATGAAGTAAACCCCCAAGAAGATACAGTAACAATGCCAATGTTCTCTCCTTCCCAATTAACCTGTTTCCTCAACAGTCCAGTGGTGGCCATCCAGCACAGCACAGCTTGCCCGAGCCTGCTGCTTGCTTGCATAGCAAGGGCTGCTATGAAACAGAAAAGAAAATAGATACAGAAGAACAGCTAGTAATATCTCTTGCAGTCTCCCAGTACAAAGGAAGTGGCCAGGCACAGTTACACACTGAAATGAAGGACAGCCAGGATAGCTGACAAGGTTCAGAGTTCCACAGCCATGGTTTACTGCTCAAACTGTGCTAAGCTCTTTAGGTAAGCTTTATTATTACGGATGGTATTGCTTGCCCTAGATCTGATGACCAAAATGGGGTTGTTCTTCATAATCCTTTAGAGGCCGCTTATAAATCAGAGAACACTTCACCTCTGGACACATGGCACTAACAGATAATCAGGTAAATGGCCTAATGCTTTAACCTTAACAGGCATTTGCTTGGGTTATTGTAGACAAAAATGAGGTCAGGGGCTGTGGTCATGAGGAAGAGCCTCAGTCCAGGGTCATCTGCACCAGCCTGGCCTTTATAGTACTGTGCACATAGCTGACACATAACAGCAAACTACAGGCTGGAGTTGCAAAGGTAAGAGGGGGCTGCACAGCAAGAGATCTACCCCTACACAGCTGCACCCCACAGGCAGCAGTCACCTCTCCCTCCTGGACTCTGTCACAGTCTTTTTGTCTATTAGAACCAGCAACAGCAGCTACACGATTGCTCTGAAAATAATTTCAAAGGCATCAACCCCTAAAAACACACAGGAAATACAATCTGCTTCTATATGAGCCCTTCCACTTTTCTGAGGCATTGGAGGGATATCCTTCACAAAACATAAGAGTAGACTCTTGCTCAGACTCCATATCTGTATGGTTCCCTAGATACCGAAGAGAGCCCAAAGGCAGGTCTGGCATCTCATCCCCTTCGTATAAACTCTTTCAGAAAGTTAGAACTGACTTTGACACGAACATGCTGGGAAGTGGGGAGCCATCTCTACCATTCTGGGGAACATGCCAAACCCTGTATTGACACTCCCCACTCTGTTAAAAACAAAGCAAAAAAACCCAACAAAAAACAACTCTCCTGTTTGCTACTGGTTAGGCAGCCGAATTAAAACTGATGAAGTGATTGGATAGGATCCAAAGCTGTTTATCTGCACATAAATCACAGCCATGCTTTACTCAGCCAGTATGGATTTACTTAGCTAGGGGAAAGACCTCTTATTCAGAATGCTGATTATTATAGCAATTAAAATATCAATGAAGCAAACATTTGGGATAGAAAGCTGTTAGGGGGTCCTGGAGAAATCAGTCCATTAAATATGAATTCTAACAAATTTCTAATTTAAAAAAAAAAAAAAAAAGATGCTTTAATAGAGAGTTGGTTTGTTTCTTCTGATTAAGTGTATTATGTTAGAAAAATCCAATTCTAAAGGAGGAAAGACACAAATTAACTAGCTGGACATGCCAAAGGAGATTAAAAAGGAAGGCTGATACATATTTCATGATCACAAGGGAATAAAAAAAAAATTGAGAGATGTACTGTCAAACCAGACACAGTGTTAATA